GTATCTCCCAATGCCTTCATCATGGAGCATCTGTACTCTCCAATCACTGAGCATGTCCCGTCATGGTGCCTATTAATCTCCAATCACTGGCCACCCTGCATCATGCCTGTCCAATCACTGGGTGCCTTGTATCTCCAATCACTGGAGCATGCCTGTCCATCATGGGTGCCTTGTATCTCCAATCACTGAGCATGCCTGTCCATCACTTGCCTTAGTATCTCACACCAATCACTGAGCATGCTGTTCCATCATGGTGTCTGTCACCATCCATGGGCCATGCCATGTATCCTGTCCAACAAGCCTTCATCTCCAAACACTGGTGCATGTCCCATCCTGGGTGGCCCATCTCCCAATCACTGAGCATTCTTCCATCCTTCATTGGTGAGTCTTGTATCACCATCACTGGAAGCATTGCCTGTTCCCATCCATGGTGCTCTTGTATCTCCAATCCACTGGAGCATCCCTGTCCATCATGTTCCTTGAATCTCCAATCACTGGAGCATGCATGCCTGACCCATCTCTTAGTCCTTGTATCTCAACTGAGCCCTGTCCATCTGTCATCATGGGTGCCCTTGTAAATCTCCAATCACTGTGCATAGCCATCCATCCTGTGCCATCATGGTTTCATGTATCACCAATCACTGGAGCATAGCCTGTCCCATCACTGGAGCCTTGTAAGTCCATTACTGAGGTCAGCTGCCACCATAGGTACCCATTGTATCTTCCATCACAGCCAACCTGTCCACCATGGCACCTTGTATCCACTAATTGATGCATTTGTTGGGATCCAAGCCCTCATAGACATCTGGGTTTGCTCTTCCTGCAGTCTCCTCCCATCTATGCAAAGGGTCATCACATTTTCCACACCAAAACGTTTTTTCGCAGAAGCTGTATAGACGTGGCTCACATATTGGATTTGTATGTTCACAGGTTGCCCGAAAAACTAGTGTTATTGAGGGGAGCTGGAACGATCTGAAGAGAGAGCTGAAGTTGCTGAGAGGTGAGACACCTTTTCTACATGGAGCCATGATGCTGCCAAGAATATTATTACAGTGAGGGGTATCATGGGAGTACATTCTTGAAGTCTCAGTACTTGAAGACTTTGACTCAGTTTTTGTTCCAAAGTCTTGGAGTCTCTGACCCAGAGTCTTGAGGTACTGGAATCTTAAACTCCCCAACCTGTAGTTTTGACGTCTCAGTACTGGAGTCTTAAAATCTTTGATCCAGAGCATTGACGTCTCTGACCTGGGTTCTTGAAACTTTGATCTGGAGTATTGAAGTTTTTGACCCAAATTATGGAAGTCCCTGACCCCGAGTGTTGAAGTTCCAGTGTTGAAATCCTGAAGTGTCTGACCCAGAGTCTTGATGTTTTTGACCGAGAGTCTCGAAGTCATTGAGCCAGAGTCTTGAGAAGTTCCTGAGTCTGTTGTATTGAAGTCTCTGACTAGGAGTCCGGAAGTTTGACCCACAGGATGTCACTGGTTGGGTCATTGACAGGACTCTGGAAATTGGTGTTTAATGATCATTGTTAGGACAGATTTTCCCTGCCAGGCGATCGCTGGATTCCTAATGTTCTTCACCATCCTTCCTTTCCAAGTTGTTACCCGACGACTAGAGACAGAACTGCGAACAATGGACCAAGCCTTGAAATCTCTGATAGCAGCAGAGGAAGAGGTACCGGAGAAGGAGACTCTGTCTTCTGTCTCTTCCCCTGTCTCTCGATCTATCATCTAAGAATGTCTCTCTTCTGATAACACTCATTTCCTGCTGCAGTCACATGGTGGCGCTCTCTGAAGACCACCACTATAGCACAGACAGGGCAAACCCCCAAGCTGGAGGTCCAATCTGGTGAGAGGCGGATCCTAGGGACTGTGTCCTCCATATGGTCCCAGTACTGAACAACGATCCATGTTAGAGGACTGAAGAGGTCCGGGGCTCCCTGTAGACTGTCCTCTATGATTGTTCCCCTATATATACCTCTCTGTGCAGTGCTCATACCACCTATTACCCCCCACCCCCCCCCCAAACACTGCTCATACCACTCCTCTACCACCTATATTACCACCCCCCCGCCATACACCTGCTCATTAACACCCCTCTACCACCCAATACCATACCCCCCCTAACACTGCTCATATACCCCTCTACCACCCAACCACCCCCCCCCATACACTGACATACACCCCTCTACCACCCAATACCCCCCCAAACACTGCTCATATACCCCTCTGATACCACCCAATACCCCCCCCACCAAACACTGCTCATACACCCCTCTACCACCCAAATACCCCCCCAAACACTGCTCATATACCCCTCTACCACCCAAATACCCCCCCAAAACACTGCTCATACACCCCTCTACCACCTATTACCACCCCCCCGCCAAACACTGCTCATAAACACCCCTCTACCACCCATATGCCCCCCCCCCCCATACAGTTCGCACACACAACCCCTCATCCCATCCATTACCCCCCCCCAAACACTGCACACACCCCCTCTACCACATTACCCCCCAAACACTGCTCATACACCCCTCTACCACCCCCCCCCCCAAACACTGCACATACACCCCTCTACCACCCCCCCAGAACACTGCTCACACACCCCACTACCACCCCCCCCCCATACACTGCTCACTAACACCCCTCTACCCCCCCCCCCCCCCATACACTGCTCACAAACCACCCTCTACCACCCATTACCCCCCATACACACCTCACACCCCTCTACCACCCCCCCCCCCCATACACTGCTCACATACACCCCTCTACCCCCCCCCCCCCCCATACACTGCTCACATACACCCTCTACAACCATTACCCCCCCCCCCATACACTGCTCATAACACCCCCTACTACCACCCCACCCCCCCCCCCCATACACTGCTCATATACCCCTCTACCACCACCCCCCCCCATACACTGCTCACATAACCCCTCTACCAACCATTACCCCCCCCCCCATACACTGCTCATACACCCCTCTACCACCCAATACCGCCCCAAACACTGCTCATACACCCCTCTACCCCCCCCCCCATACACCTGCTCACATACCCCTCTACCACCCATTACCCCATACCCCCCCCCCCCCCTCCCCCCCCCCCCCCCCCCCCACCCCCCCTCTCCTCACACCCCCACCCATTCCACCCCCCCCCCATACACTGCTCACCACCCCCCTCTACCACCCATCACCCCCCCCCCATACACTGCTCATACACCCCTCTACCACCCATCACCCCCCCCCCATACACTGCTCATACACCCCTCTACCACCCATTGCCCCCCCCCCCATACACTGCTCTACACACCCACCACCCATCACCCCCCCCCCCCCCCCATACACTGCTCATACACCCCTCTACCACCCATCACCCCCACCCCCCCATCCCCCCCCCCCATACACTGCTCATACACCCCTCTACCACCCATCCCCCCCCCCCCATACCCACTGCTCCACAACCCTATACCACCCACCCACCCCCCCCCCCCCCCACGATTTATGCCATACACACCCCCTACCACCCCCCACCCCCCCCATACACTGCTCATACACCCTCTACCACCCCCCCCCCCCCCATACACTGCTCATAACACCCCTCTACCACCCATCACCCCCCACCCCCCCCATACACTGCTCATACACCCCTCTACCACCCATCACACCCCCCATACACTGCTCATACACCCCTCTACCCCCCCACCCCCCCCATACACCCCCTTATACACCCATCACCCCCCCCCCCCCCCATATCACTGCTCATACACCCCTCTACCACCCATCACCCCCCCCATACATGCTGCTCATACACCCTCTACCACCCATCACCCCCCCCCCTACACTGCTCATACCCCCTCTACCACCCTCTACCACCCATCACCCCCCCATACACTGCTCATACACCCCCTCTACCACCCATACTTGCCCTACCCCCCCCTACACTGCTCATACACCCCTCTACCACCCATCACCCCCCAACCTCACACACAATGTCCACAACATTAATCTCCTTTTCTTTTTTGCTCCACTTTCTCCTCCTCTGTATGTGTCAATCTCCTGTTTTCTGTCTCTGAACTCCTCCCCCCCCTCCCCCTCCCCTCCCCCATCCTGGTGTCATTACCTGTGAACAGTAAATGTGCCGACCTGGAGGAGGAGCTGAAGAATGTCACCAATAATCTTAAGTCCCTGGAGGCACAAGCGGATAAGGTATTGGGTGTTTCCCTAGAGGCCTAGTCATGTCTAACGTGGAAGGAACCCCCACAATCCTCTTCTAGTGTGTGGAGACCCCCGTTTGTCTATATGTTTTAATAGCATGATGGTCCTCCATATTTCTAGAGCTCATTTCTGCAACTAACCTCCACAAGTCTTCCACCCTCCATCCCAGCATCCTTTTGTGGGACTTGATGGCCTCCATTCCTTGCTATTCCAAAGCTTAGATTGTCCTAACTAATTTCTCCTCGAAAAGTCCCCCATAGACTACCATACCAAGTGTGTCCATCTGTCCTCCATTTCTGGTGTCTCCTGCCGATTCCTGACTCCCTCTGATCTTCTTGTCTACTACTATAGTATTCATCAAAGGAAGACCACTATGAAGATGAGATCCGACACCTCACCGAGCGGCTAAAGGAGGTGGGGTGGTGGGCTCCAGGAGGACATGGGTGGTGGGCTCCAGGAGGACGTAGACGGGGGGGTCTCTTCCATAGCTGGCATGTCATGGATTGTCTTTTCTCTTGTTGTAGACTGACTCTCGAGTTGTTGAATTTGCAGAAAAAGTCCGTAGCCAAGCTGGAGAAGACCATCGATGACCTTGAAGGTAAAATATAAATGTTCATTCTACAAAGGAAGCTCTTCATTGGCTTTCCCAGATCCACCCCTCCCCCCCCCCCCCCATAGACCTCTCTGATGAGCCTTTCACTCCTAGAACTCCATTGTATTCTCAGACTGCAGAAGTGAGACCCCCCCCCCACGACCACAATCCCCATCACCAGATAACCAATATAGACATTGTGGGAGGGGCAGAGACACAATTTACTGGAGGAAAATCTCCCCATTGTGGGAGGGGCAGAGACACAGACTACTGGGGGGAATCTCCCCATTGTGTGAGGGGCAGAGACACAGACTACAAGGGGGGGGGGAATCTCGCCATTGTGGGAGGGGCAGAGACACAGACTACGGGAGGGAAATCTCTCTCCATTGTGGGAGGGGCAGAGACACAGACTACTGGGGGGGAATCTTCCCATTGTGGGAGGGGCAGAGACACAGACTACTGGGCGGAATCTCCCCATTGTGGAGGGGCAGAGACAGACTACTTAGGGGAATCTCCCCATTGTGGGAGGGGCAGAAACACAGACTACTTAGGGGAATCTCCCCATTGTGGGAGGGGCAGAGACACAGACTACTGGGGGAAATCTTCCCATTGTGGGAGGGGCAGAGACACAGACTACTGGGGGGAATCTCCCCATTGTGTGAGGGGCAGAGACACAGACTACAAGGATGGGGGGGGGAATCTCGCCATTGTGGGAGGGGCAGAGACACAGACTACGGGAGGGAAATCTCTCCATTGTGGGAGGGGCAGAGACACAGACTACTGGGGGGGAATCTTCCCATTGTGGGAGGGGCAGAGACACAGACTACTGGGCGGAATCTCCCCATTGTGGGAGGGGCAGAGACAGACTACTTAGGGGAATCTCCCCATTGTGGGAGGGGCAGAAACACAGACTACTTAGGGGAATCTCCCCATTGTGGGAGGGGCAGAGACACAGACTACTGGGGGAAATCTTCCCATTGTGGGAGGGGCAGAGACACAGACTACTGGGGGGAATCTCCCCATTGTGTGAGGGGCAGAGACACAGACTACAAGGATGGGGGGGGGGAATCTCGCCATTGTGGGAGGGGCAGAGACACAGACTACGGGAGGGAAATCTCTCCATTGTGGGAGGGGCAGAGACACAGACTACTGGGGGGAATCTTCCCATTGTGGGAGGGGCAGAGACACAGACTACTGGGCGGAATCTCCCCATTGTGGGAGGGGCAGAGACAGACTACTTAGGGGAATCTCCCCATTGTGGGAGGGGCAGAGACACAGACTACTGGGGGGGGGGAAATCTTCCCATTGTGGGAGGGCAGCAGAGACACAGACTACTGGGGGGAATCTCCCCATTGTGGGAGGGGCAGAGACACAGACTACTGGGGGAATCTTCCCATTGTGGGAGGTGCAGAGACACAGACTACTTGGGGGAATCTCACCACTGTGGGAGGGGCAGAGACACAGACTACTGGGGGGAATCTCCCCATTGTGGGAGGGGCAGAGACACAGACTACTGGGGGAATCTTCCCATTGTGGGAGGGGCAGAGACACAGACTACTGGGGGGAATCTCACCACTGTGGTCTGGAAGAGATATAAGGATCTGCTGTGTGGCCCTCGGATGGTTTCGGTCAGTTGCTTCATCTTTATTTTATGACTTTTCCTTTATTTCAGTTGTTTCTTTTCCATCCTCACTTATCTTCACGCCTCTTTTTTTTTTCTGTCCTTGTTCCCTCATTGTCATGGCTGGCTCCCTCTGTGTCACCCTTTGTAACATATAACACACGTGTTTTATCACCGGCACCCCCCTCCCCTCCCCCATGTGGTTTGTGGTTTGTCTTCTCCTTGTCTTGTGGCGGTTTGCCCCACAGATGAGGTCTATTCCCAGAAGATGAAGTACAAGGCCATCAGTGAGGAGTTGGACAATGCCCTTAATGACATCACCTCCCTGTAAGCCCTGATCTCTACCGTCACCCTCCTGCCATCACATCCTCGTACCAAGCCATTGCACCACCATCCTCTCCTGTGGCCTCCTCTGCTGTCCACCACGGCACCTCTGTCCTCTTCACGCATCTCCCATGAGGCCTCCATCTTTACGGCGAGTCTCTCCTGCCTCCTCCTCTCTCAGTGACTTCTCTTCATGTTATATCTTTGATTTCTTGCTTGTCTGAGTCTCTTCCTGCCCTGGAACATTCATCTTTATGATGTGTCTAGACCATGGCTGACGCCTCTTCTCAGCGGTTCTTCATGTGTTGTACATAGCCCTGGGCCCGTCTTGTTGTGTGTGGTGTACAGTATGAACGATCTCTCGCTCTCTCCCCATCACCTGGTGTGTGTGCAGAGGAACTGTGTGATGTGCATGGGGTATGCTGGATCTCCATGGAGTGTGGTGGCCCTACCTCCCACCACTCTACTCCCAAGTCTCATACATCTCTGCTGATCAATAAAGGATTGCTTTGCTCTTCTGCTGCTTCCTGTTTTCTTTCTGCTATTTTCTGTCTTCTTCTTTTCCGTGAGTCCAGATGATGATATGATGGGGTTTCTTCATACTGGGAGGAGGGGTCCCTGGGGGAGAGGTAGTTGTGTTTTATGTAGATGTTATTCTACAGGCCTCTTCTATGGATAATATAAAATCATGAAGGATTTATTCACATGTTCTTCTGATCATATAGTCATCCTGGATTATATAGGAGAATTTGGACAAGCTGTAGGGAATAGACCGATATATTGGGGTGTTTTGGGGGGAAGGTGATGCTCTCCAGGAAGAACCTACACCCACCCAGAGTAACGAGGATCCTGAGCCCCGCTGGATGTTACAGCTACTTTCCATAAATCTTTTTTCCTCTACCTATTGGGACCTTCAGATTACAAAAGGATCCCCCTTTGACGTCCCTCGTCTCTGGGTGTATCGCTTACAAATGAATTTGTTTCTACTCCTTAATGTAGTTCTGGACTATTTATTACACTTTGGTAAGAAGGTAGGACAAGAAGAGAAGAAGGCCCAAACTCTTCAGGACTTCTAGAGCTCCTCAACTAGCAGTCGCTGAGCTGGTCTCCTGGAGCTCTGTACAGCTTCCAGCAAACAGGAGGTTGGAGAGATACTTTAGTCCATCTCTCTGACCTCAGACCTTGCAGGCCCACAGCCTGGGGGAACCGCCCCTTAGGTAAGGACAGAACAGGGGGAGATGGCTCTTTTAGATGAGTGTCCCCCAGCTTGTTGATGACATGCTCACCATTGGGTTGGCCAGTTGATAAGAGAGACAGAACTCTTTGTACCCCCTCGTGACACAAAACACAGCCAGGATTGAAGGTTTAAATCCACCCAAAAATTATGTTTTGTTTATGGCTAGACATGTGCAGAACGAAAACTTTTTTTTATTGTTTCGGATCAATTCATTAAGTTATTAATTTAATTTAGTTGTATTCGTAACAACATTTGTTTTTAGTTTAGTTTCATTTGAATAAAGACTGCCGGGATTAAAATTGTTTTTAAAATAACAGTGTGGGGGTCCCCCCATTCCATACCAAGCCCTTAAGGTCCACTTTGGGGGTGATTGGGGACTCCCACACTGTTTTCTTTTAATGCCAGCATTGTTTGTTTACATTCTGTTGACACTGGGGAATCCTGCTGACAGCAGAGGAGTCATGGTCTCATGGTTGTTAAGGATGTGGCGGCGGCCGGCCACCCCTCTCCATAACAACCAGCCATTACCGAATGAATTAGAATCATTAGTTCCATTCGGATGCTTCAAACATCCGAATGAAACACATTAATTTAGTTATTCTGTTAATATTTATTTTGGATTTGTTGAAAATTTGTTATTGTTTTGTAATGAAAGTTTTGTCTGAATTTCGATTCGGATTGAACCAAACCACACAGCTCTAGTTATGGCTGCAGTCTGGTGGGCTACTGGCTTGTTTATCTTGAGCAATACAATGGAAGGTCACCTAACCCAAGTTCCTGGCCCTGTTCCACCCACCTTGGAGCTTTGGGAGACCATGGTAGCTCTGCAGACCCAGGAACTCAGATTGGACACCATCATTCAGTGATGGTCTCCTTGTCAGCAGTTGGTAATATTTTGCCCTCTCCTTGGATTTGTCAGTGAAGGAAAAAGGGTTCAGTGGTGAATGAGAGGTGATGTCCAGATATATACAAGGAAGATGTAGGAAAAACCCCAAAGGGGAAGGTCATGAGCTGGAGGAGACTACCATGTGTGTCCCCTGGTTCCTACTACTATTGCTGGAGAACATAAGGAGGAATTGGTGGACTCCACCCTGAAGCCTGATGGACTTTTTCATCCTTACTAAACCTTAAAAGGTCTATAAAGTACACTTTTTTTTTTTTCGTGTTTCCATAAGGATTTTACTTCTGTGTGGTGCCCATTTTTTAACCAAATTCTCCTCTGGATTTATTTTCCCATAGTGTAGTAGGATCACAAGTAGATCTCCTCATATTTTGTAGCATTTATGGTGGTGACAGTTTATAAGATACAGGAGACCTTATCTCTCTTTCCACATGGCTCCAGCTCCACAAATGTTATCTCAGCTAGAAACAAGGAGAAACAACAACCATTAATGAGTGTTTGTTGTCACAGCCAAGGGTCCCGACCTCCCATAATGAGATATGTCTGGATGAGACATCTCTCAGATTTCCATTGTTCCACCAACAGCCAGCCTGGTCTCTGATGTTGGTGGATGGGGGAGCATTTTATCCTGCAGGGAGGTGAGTATTCTTCCCCCTTTCTGGCTGTAGCTCTATCATCTCCTATTTAGTTCTCTTCTGTGACCTCCCACTCAATTACCAGCATCATCACGAACTAATGATGGTAGTCCCACTGTCAGAATGGGAAGAATGGGACCAGTACATATTCAGAAGGTAACTGAGCATTGGAACATTGCAATAATTGCAAAAGACGTGGAAGCATCTGAACATGAATGTGGTTTGACCTTTATAACAAAGAATTATACCAATAGAAAGTAGTGTCCTTCACGTAGACTAATAATGTAGCCTGACCCTGTGGAAGGGATCAGTTAGATCTGCAGAAGAGGATAATCCAACAATAAATAGGCACCCCAAAATGAACGTGTAAGGAAGACTCCTAGGGGAAACTACAGTGGGGGAACCCATAGTTGAAATATCATAGTTGAATCTGCATAGTAGAAAAGGAGGAATCCACAGTGAAGGAACCCCATAGTAGAAAATATCCGTGAGGAATCCCTATAGATGAATCCACAGTGAGGGAACCACATAGTAGAAATATCTAGGAAAATCCCTATAGATGAATCCACAGTAGAGGGAACCACATAGTAAAAATATCTAGGAAAATTCCCTATAGATGAATCCACAGTGGGGGAACCCCATAGTAGAAATATCCAGGAGGAATCCCTGTAGATGAAACCACAGTGAGGGAACCCCATAGTAGAAATATCCGGGCGGAATTCCTGTAGATGGAAGCAGTGAGGGAACCCCATAGTAGAAATATCTAGGAAAATTCCCTATAGATGAATCCACAGTGAGGGAACCACATAGTAGAAATATCTGGGAGGAATCCCTATAGATGGAACCATCATGAAGGGAACCCATAGTAGAAATATCCAGGAGGGATCCCTATAGATGGAACCACAGTGAGGGAACCCTATAGTAATAACACCGGGAGGAATCCCTATAGATGAAAACCACAGTGAGGGAACCCCATATAGAAATATCCAGGAGGAATCCCTATAGTTGAAAAAGTGAAGGAACCCATAGTAGGAATATATAGGAGGAATCCCTATAGATGAATCCACAGTGAGGAACCCCATAGTAGAAATATCCAGGAGGAATCCCTGTAGATGGAAGCAGTGAGGGAAC